AAATTATATAATAAAAGGGAAGAAATAAAAATAAATTTGTGCTTCTATTAAAGATATATGTATATATATTCTTTAAATGTCTATTTTTACATTGATATATACACACTTTTTTTCATGCCACAGAAATAATATCAAGACTTATTACTACATAGCACCATGGATATTTCTACTGTATGTGCACAAACTCTTAAGCACAGCCACAAAATTCTATGATCTGTCAAACTATCAAAATATGGCATAAGTTTCTTGTGTTCGTAAGTCTATGCTTATCATGTGAGCTCTGAAAAAAAATTCATATTTCAGGTTCATGAATATAATATGGATGTTGGATAAGTAGCAGCAGTTAACTCATAAAGGACAAAAATGTAGTGATTGGTTTCTTCAGATACATGTGCACACAGGACACACTACTGCAAAAGACATACCGAAGAAAGATGTCCATATTATTGCTTTTACAAACATCCAATTAAAATCAGTTTAAGCCAGACCACTAGATTATTAAGGCAGACCCAAGAAAATACAATTTTCCGTTCCTGTGTCCACCTGAGGTCTCAAACTTTCCTGTCCTTAGAGATTAAACACCGCTTGGTCAATACCTTAATATGATTATATATTATTGAATATCTATATATCACTGGTCAGAGAAACAGTTTGTGCATATTGGAATATCAAATTTAAACCACATCAAGTATATATATAAAAAAAGGACACTCATACGCACACATACAAACGAAAACCTATGTACAGACACAACCAAACCCATAAACATAATAATATTGACAGTAAGGATGACAATTATCATCATTTTTGCTAATATCATTTTTTTATCACTCTTGTAAGAATTGTAGTCATTACAATTAATAATAATAATAATAATAATAATAATAATAATAATAATAATAATAATAATAATAATAATAATAATAATAATAATAACAATAACAATAACAATAATAATAACATTAGTAATAATAATAATGTAATTGCCCATCACCATAATTCAAATAAAAATAAAGACAAATCCTGCGATTAACATCATTAATAATGACAATAATAAATACAAAAATAATATCACCAAGTTTTCAGTCTTCTGTCACTCATATCAAAAACCAACAGGGAATGTTATAATTTCTCATTCCACCTTCAAACAATTTTGAATTTCTTAAATGGTTATTAAGAACAGCATTAACTCATTGGTACCTGGAGGGCATGTATTTACACCCTGTCCATTGTGATTTTAGCTTCATAATTTGGTTTATATAGGCATGTAGCCATAAGTGCTTAATTGCGAGGAATCACTTACATAACCTACCTGGTTTCACCTGTTTATGCTATTCCATGAACAGGAATATTTTTACTGATAATAATGGTATAATAATAATAATAATGTCAGTATTAATAACATCAATTGTGATAATAACAGTACAGAAAATAAAGTAGGCCTTGTAATTGACTTCTCGGTGAGTAAGCCTTTGTGGAGCCATCTATGCATGAACAAAACTGACAAAACAGGAATACAGTTGAAATGCAAGTACCAGCACCAATGGCTTAAACATTTTTACATGGTCACTAAGAGCATTAAAATACACTCAACACCTACCTAGGACACCTGGAAGACAATCCCACATTAATCAGGGATTTTAAGGACAAGAACACCATGACAGAGTAAAGTTTCGCATCTATTCAACACACAAATCTTAAGTAAAATGAAAGCTCCAAGACTTTACGACTCCTGCCACATGGATGTCCTATTGCGTCACGGCACACTGCCCCTCACAACGGGATGGTGTCTTTGAGTCATGCGCAGTCGAGCCTACTCTAAACATTAATCACTAGGGGCTCCTGTTGTGACTGGGTCAAGATTCTACATTGTCATTCTGCAACCAATCCCCATTCTTGGATTTCTATATTGCACATATATAATGACCTACTATAGAAAATATACTTGTGAAAATAGGAATGACAATAATAATAATAATAATAATAATAATAATAATAATATCAATAATAATTATGATAATTACAATTAAAAATACTAAATATATAACAATAATAATAATAATATAAAAAAATGAATAAATAAAACAATAATAATAATAATGACAATAAATAATAATAAATAATAGTAACAATAATAATAACAAAAACAATAATGGTAATAACCATAAAAATCATAATAATAATCATAAAAAAATATAATTAAAACAACAATAAAAATGCATTCTAAACTAATGTCCTAGTATTTCATGGAATTTGTTACTAACAATAATTTGCACCCAATGAAGGTAAGCTTAACAAGGCAAGACTATTGCTTAAGTGAGGTCTTTGTCACAGATCAACATACAACATGCTAGAGTGACAAACTCAGTTGTTCTGTCACTATACAAATTGATCTTTAATCACACACACAAATACATATGTAAGCATATACACGTATTTGTATACATATGAGCACACTTGCACAAGCACATGTACACACATACATGCACGCGCGCACACA